AACACTTTCGGTTACCTGCCCTTCTGTCTTGTTATTTCATCAGGTAGATTTGGGAGGACTCAAATGATCAGATGCCATCATCAAACCATCTCACCCAACTCATATATACCGGAATAGTAGAAATTGATCAAAGCATGTTAAGATCCATCTTCCTTCAGACCCTGAACCAATCCTCTGTGACACATTTATGGGAGATCATAGACAGGACTTATGCCAGAGAGCCAAGAATGATTTGGTTATGATCTTAATTACTGGATGAACTACCTTCATCAGTGATATCATAGACCCGTGGGAAAAGCTGCATGTCCAACATCCCTGTACTCTGTCCCTCTGATTGGAGGGCCGGAGGGTGGAGCAAAAAAAAAAAAATCCTACCAAAGCCTCCATTTATACAGGGCTCAGAAGCCCAGCCAACTCTTAATTTTCTACCAGCTGCAATCCTTGGATTCCACTCCACCACCATCATCATTTCTCCACGTGCACATGCACCTTCCAGCTTCCCCCATTAAACTGTAAGCTCATTGAAGACAGGAAGTACTTTGCTTTTTCTTATCTGTATCACCAGCACCTACCTGGCACATGACAGGCACTTAACAAATGTCTATTGTATTGCATTATTATTGTACTCACCTAAGGGAATAATAGTAGAACTAAAGCATAGTTTTGTCTGTTTAGAATTGAGACAATTTGCCTTAACTTGGTTTTTCTTCCTTAGCTAGATTTTGGAAATCCTCCTGTCCCAATTCATTCTGACCAAATGTTCCCTTCAAAACCATCTTAGGCAGAAGAGAAAGGGAGAAGAATAGAGAAATATAATTCATCAGTTTTATGAATTAGTTATCCTTAAGCGTGTTCTCATCCTTAAAGTTAGAAATACACATTTTTAAAAGTCTATTCTTTAAAAATAAAAGGCTATTCTTATTAGTTTTGTCAAGGGTTAAACATATCCATCCTACCTAAAATTAAGGAATGGTATCAGTCCCACCACTATTACTTCATATTTTAGGTTATAATCTGGAAAGAGAGTCCCCCTCCTCCTTCCAGCTCCAACAGTTTGCTCATCTTATTTATTTATTTATTTATTTTTGGCTAGGCAATGGGGTTAAGTGACTTGCCCAGGGTCACATAGCTAGTAAATGTTATGTGTCTGAATCTGGATTTGAACTCAGGTCCTCCTGAATCCAGGGCCGGTGCTCTATCTACTGCGCAACCTGCCTACCCCCAATTGGCTCATCTTAGAGGGACCAGCAAATACCTGAATGTTGTCAGCAGGAGACAGCACTATCTATAGTAGCGTGATTCTCTGCAGTGGGAAGGTGTCAATTTTATATATATTTCTAATAAACAGAAAAAAAGAAATTGATGTTGAACTAAAACCAGAGTACAAATTTCCGACGGGGGGAAAAAAAACATTTGTAGTTTCCAGCAATGAAAAAAGAAACTGTGGATCTAAGTCATGACTAATTAAGTCTTGTAAGATTTGCAAATTAATCCTCTCCTTCAGAGCCAGGGCTACTGCTCTTCCTATGAACTATTTATTAACTGATCCTGGCTTTCTAGTGTTTTGAAGGCCATCCCCAGACTCTGTGGGCCTAGCATTGTTTCCTCAAGCTCAGCTGAGAAAAAGATAACTGCATTTCAATAAGAAACCAAATGACTTCATTTGCATTTAGCTTTTTTAAAAAATTTTCATTTTTGAATATACAAGCTGTTTTCTCCTAGAGAAAGACATCCAGTTAGCAATACATTGAAACCAAAGTGGGTTCTCATTGATTGGGAAGTAGCCAGTATATGAATGTAAAGGAATATTTTTTCAAGCTTGTATGAAATAATAAATACAAAGAATTCAGAGGAAACTTGGGAAGACCTATATGAACTGATGCAAAGTGAAGAAAGCAGAACCAAGAGAAAAATATATACAATGACCACAATCATGTAAAGGAAAAATAACAGAAAATGATAACAGAATACAGATTTTTACAATGTCTTTGCTAGATTCCAGTGAAGTGACTATGAAGTACACTTCCACCTTCTTGATAGAGGGTGTGGACTTGTGGACTATAGCTGTGGAATGTTGCATATTCTGTGTGATACCTGCAAATGCTGTCAAATGTGATCAATGTTTCAGTTTTTGCTTAACTCTTTCTCTTTGTTATGGAGGAGGGCTCTATTGGGTGAGAGAGGGTATGGGGAAGAGGGTGCTATAAAAACAAAACATAGCATCAATAAAACATTGTAAAAGGGAAAGAGGAATAAGTACCCATGATATAGATGGATATATAGATACAGATAGATATAGATAGAATCAGTTTTTCCATCTACAACCATGTACATCTTGTATATACATAGTTATTTATATGTTGTCTTTTCCATTAGCAAGCATGCTCCTTGAGGGCAGGACCTGGTTGTTTTGTGTGTGTGTGTGTGTGTGTGTGGTGTGTGTGTGTATGTGTGTGTGTGTGTGTGTAGGGGTGTGTTTGCCTTTCTTTCTATGCTCAACTCTTGGCACAGTTACTAGCACTTACACCCTTAATAAAAGTTTCTTAAACTGACCAAATGCCTAAGGCCTTTGGCCTCTCCTGAATGATGTTTTCCAACATTTTTTCTCTGTCCTTCTCTATGTACCTCTCTGAGTTAAAGTCACTGAGTTTTAAGATGTATGTTAATCTTCAAAAAAAAAAAAGATATCCAGCATTGGGGCCCCTTTGATCATAATTAAACATCTGGAAAAAAGGTTGACAAATTTAAAATGTCCCCAACACAAGTTTTTCTCAAAGGAAATTGACAATATCACCTTGAAAAGAAATTTAAACAATACCCTTTGAGATGTTCAGCCCAACTTGAATTATTCATTACAGATTAAGGATAGTCAAAAGAAGTGTGCTCTTAGAAGAAAGAGCTAGTTGGCAAAGGCTAGAAAAACTTATTTTTTTTATTTACAAGTGGACAGGATGTAACAAAGAGGACCCAGAATGCAGCAGGTGGAGGGAGAAAGCTGCATATAGCCTTACAGACATAAGAAAAGAAAGCATATGAACAGATTAGAAAAAAAAAATAGATTAAATGTTTTCTAAGCTACTGCTTGCCTACACTCGCCAGCTGAAGGCTTTAAATAATTAAATCCCTCCAGCAACTGCCAGGCCCAACTGGAATATTGAAACAAGGCCCGAATTCAGTTTGAGCCCAACAGGTGCAGCCTAATCATGCCTCCTCCATTCAACTCCCGATCTATGTTTATGCCTAGGGAGGACGTCTTATTCTTAAATTCAGCACGGCATTAATTAAATTAGCCTAAGTGCGGCTTGTTTTGTCCTATCATCCAAGATCAGATTACCCACAGACAGACATCAGTCTATTTTCCTCCATGGAAATGCTCAGCATAAGAGGGAAAAATACAAAGAAGGCTATTTTTCCAAAACCACTTCTTTTTTTCTAGGAAGGCGATTTCTTCTCACTGGATTCTTGGAAAATGAATTAACAGCTAAGGAACATTGTTTTATTATTGATCATAAGTTAGCCTTTTCCTACAATGGGAGCTATTTATGAAGACCCCCTCTGAGCTCTTCTTTATCTGAGAAGGGAGGAGTTGGGGGTTTTGAATCCTGGATTCATGTTTTACTAGCTATATGACCTCAAGTACATTCCTATACCTCTCTGAGACTGTTCCCTCATTTGTAAAATGGTGATAACCATGCTTACACAACTCTTCCTCAGGGTTATTGTGAGAAAGGAACATAAAAAACCAAAAAGACTGGTCTTTTTTATTACTGTAAGAATCTAGGTCTAGGCTAGATGGGAAATTAGATGTCATTTATTCAACTCCACCCTTGTACATGAAACAAGAGACTGGCCAAGAGGGGCCCAGCCCTTATTTACAATCGCCCCAGCCAGGACCAATGCTGGGGATCCCCCGTGGGCTTCTTACTTCTGCAAATGCATGATGTATAATGGAGTGTCCTGCACTCCACTGCAGGGCATGCACCGATATTCTGTGACTGTTTCCTGTCTACTTAACTTTGTGAGGATGAAAAAATCTTTTTAACGGTTCTGGAGCCAGAGTGGTCTGCTGTCTCTCCCTCCCTCTCTCTCCCCTCCTCCTCTCCCTTCTTCTCTCTCTGTTTCTGTCTCTCTCTCATGTCTCTGTCTCTCTCTTTTACTCTGTCTCTGTCTTTCTCTTACTCCCTGTCTCTCTCCTGTCTGTCTCTTTCCCTCTCTTCTCTGTCTGTGTGTGTTTTGTGTATGTGTGTCTCACACACACACTCTCTGTCTCTGTCTCTCTTTCTTCCTCTCTCTCTCTCTGTCTCTTTCTATCTTCTCTGTCCCTGTCCCTGTCTCTCTCTCTCTTTCCTGTCCCTCTATCTCTCTCTCCTGTCTCTCTGTCTCTCTCACTCTCTTTCTCTTACTGTCTCTGCCTTTCTCCTCTGTCTGTCTGTCTGTCTTTCTCTGTCTCTCTTTCTCTTTCTCCATCTCTCTCTGTCTCCTGTCTGTCTGTCTCTGTCTCCATCTCTCTCTGTCTCTCTGTCTCTGTCTATCTCTGCCTCTGTCTCTCTGTCTCTCTCTTCCCTCTCTCTCTCTCTCTGTCTCTCTGTCTCTCTCTTCCCTCTCTCTCTCTCTCTGTGTCTCTCTCTCTGTGTCTCTCTCCCTCTCTTTCTCTCTGTCTCTGTCTCCTATCTGTCTCTGTCTCCATCTCTTTGTCTCACTCTGTCTCTCTCTGTCTCTATCTCTGTCTCTGTCTCTCTGTCTCTCTCTCTCTCTCTCTCTCTCTCTCTCTCTCTCTCTCTCTCTCTCTCTCTTCCCTGTCTCTCTCTCTCCTATCTCTCTGTCCCTCTCCTCTCTCTGTGTGTTTCTGGCAGCTTTAGAATGAGGAGAATGAACGGCTACTTATAAAAATGCATTACTCTGCTGCTCAATAAACTCCAGTGGCTCCCTATTCTCCCTCGAGTCAAATACAAACTCTTCTTTTTATTCATTAAATCCCTTCACAACCTGCTCCAACTTACCTCTGCAGGCTTATTACACATTCATCCCCTTACCACATTCTCTAGTTCAGCCAAACTGGTCTTCTTGCTGTTCTGGACATCTGCCGCTCCATCTCCTCTCCCCTACCGCTGAAATACTCTCCCTCTCCACCTTTGTTTCTCAGAATCCCATTTCCTGAAAAGTTCAGCTCAAGTTACAGGCCTTTCCTGATCACACAGTCACTAGTGTCCTTTATTCATTTGCCTATATTTCATGTATGCTTTACATGGATGTGATACCTCACTGTGAGCTGCTGGAAGGCAGACACTGCTTCACTGTTTTCTTTGTGTATAAGTGTTTGCATGTTGTCTCTCCCATTAGATTGTGACCTCTTTGAGGGCAGGGTCTGTCTTTTGCCTTTCTTTGTATCCGCAGCACACCGTGCCTGACATACAGTGAATGCTTAATAAAAGCTTGTTGATTCGTTGAAATAATAACTGACATTTATAGAGAAACTTAAGGAAGTTTCTACATATACATACATACATATATTCATATATATGCATACACATATATATAATCTACAGCTTTGTGGAATCAATGCCACAGCTACTGTTATCACTATTTTACAGATTAAGAAACTGATGCTAAGAAAGCTTGGGTCACTTGGCTGGAGTTAAAGTCAAAGACCACTTTTCTCTTCTTCGTGCATAAAGAGTACACAGCTAGTTCTCAGGTCAATGCATAGTGAGGCAACATTCATCCCAACTCTCCCAGATATGTACCACAGCTTTCTTGCTCACAACAGTACCTGTCAATATTGAGGGAATGGCAGGAATTAACTCACACCTCCCCAAGTCCACCAGTATCCTGGCCCACAGCACTAGCCGTGTGTCCATGGGCAATCATTTAACTCTCTCTAAGCCTCAGTTTCCTCATCTGTAAAATGAGGGGGTTGAACTCCCTAACTTCCAAGGTCTGTTCCACTTCCCATCCGATGTTCCTGTGATCCTGATTACCAGTGCCAGGATTCAGAACTGGGTCTCCTACCTCCAGATCCAATCCTCTTTTCACTAACCACATGGGAAAAAATGATTCTGATGAGCACTGATATAAATACACAGACATATACATCCATCTTTCTTTGTTCTTGCACTACAGTTTAATCCCTGATTCTTCCCCCTCCCCCTCTATTTACCTGGTGCTGTCCAGCCCACACACGCAGTTCCTTCAGTTCCTCCAAGCAGAGAGAATAAAATCCATTTAGTCTTTTGGAGATGGTGACAGATGAGCCCTTCTTCACTATCAATTGAGTCATGGAGGCGCATTGACATGTATTAATTTATAAAAAATACAGAACCAGCTCTAGGAAATCAATGGTCTCATTTTGAAAGCCATCCTGGCAAGTAATTCATGCGCAGACATGATCAAGATAGAGTTAACAACTGGTGGGAGATACTGTTCATTCTTTGGCACTCTCTTTGGTGATGTTTGTGAAATAGAGAGATGCCTCCTTTTGCAAATGGGAGAAAAGAACTTTCAGGGTGCTGGAGCCATCTGGAACTATAAAAGGGTTAGCTCAAAGCTTTGCTATACCCAAGTCCACGTGGCTCAGGGTGGCTTGTCTGCCATGTGAGTGGCAGTTGGTGGGGTTGCTTCCCTGGATGACGTCTATGAGGTCTGGGCTAGAAGGAAGACCAGCAGTCTGGTAGAGGCCTCCACTCCAATGCCTATTTGCCTGCTGCCTGTTGCCTAGCATTTCTGCCATAATAGCTAGTTGTAAAGGCTATGGAAAAAGCTGAAATTGGTCACATTCACTAGAGGCCAAAAAATGTTAATGAGTCAGATCTATCTCCCTTGTTCAGTCATTTCAGTCATATCTGACCCTTCATGACCCCATTTAAGATTTTCTTGGCAAAAATACTGGAGTTTTCGCCATTTCCTTCTCCAGTTCATTTTACAGATGAGGAAACTGAGGCAAACAGGATTCAGTGACTTGCCTGGGGTCAGAGAGCTAGTAGAGTCTGAGGTCATAATTTGAACTCAACCCCAGCATTCTACGCACTATGGCGCCACCTACCTCTCTAGCTGTCAGATCTTCAGCAGGGGTGGAAATCAAGTTGTTCATTGGAACATTATTCAAAGTCACAGCCAACTCCGACTTTGGGAAGACTCTATTTCTGAGATTCACTTAAGGCAGAACCGTAACTAGCAATTTTGGCACCAGGAGCACAAAGTAAGCAAGTAGTAAATAATGTGTCCTCACCAAGGGCAAACAGCATGAAAAACCTCTCAAACCAAGTTTGTAATTTATGATGTGAAAACAGCATAATAAGAAATGGAGACAAATTCACTTGAGCAAGAAGAATTACTTGGTTTATAGCTGATGAAGGAGTGTATGTGTTTAGTTTTTTGTTCCCTCTAAATTTCGGTGGCCTGGACCATAGCCCTTGTTGTCCTGACCTACTTATAGCCTGAAGCTTTGGGAAAATTGAAATGATTCCATTGAAATTGAAAATGGAAACGGCCACATTATTATCTCTGTGGTAATCTGGAAAAACTCAGGGTATTTTTTAGTTGATTTTTCAGATCCTTTTTTTTTTCTATCACAGGCTATCTCTGTTTTAGACTCTGTTTTACCTCCTCAGCCCTATTTTCTCCTACCTGAAACTCCCCACACTGGGACTCTTTCTTGCTGAAAATTTCCAGTTTCCTTGGTAACTCCTGGCCACGGCATCACAATTGGAAAGCCAATGGAAAGCATGTTCCCCTCCCCATTAAAGCTCTTACCTTCTTCCAGATATCCAAATTGCTTTGATGTTTAGAGTGAAGTGGAAAGAATGGGAAGACTTTGACATTAGGATGTCCTGAGTCCTGGAGACAACCTACAGTAGGTCCTCCATAGACTTACTCCTCTTGCCGTGGCCTGGAAACATCCCTACTTCTTGTATACTTTCTCTGTCCCACTCTGGAAGTATTTGTTGCTTCTCTCCTGTAACAACAACAAAAATAATAATTGTAATAACTAGCATTTGTATCACACTTTTAAGTTTGCAAAGTATTTTGCAAACATTATCTCATTGAACCTCACAAAAACCCTTAGGAGGCAGGTGCTATTATTATGCCCATTTTGCAGTTGAGGAAACTGAGTGAGACAGAAGTTAAGTGACTTGCCCAAGGCTACAGAGCTAAGAAGTGTCTAAGGCGGGATTCAGACTCAGGCCTACCTAAATCCAGGCCCCGCACTCTGTCCACTAGGCTACCTGGCTACCTTTTGTATCCTTTCTTCATTCATCCTTCCTTTCTGTACTCTTGGCCTTAGGTATCTCTTGTTAAGCCACATAGCTTTCTCTTGTGAGTTAAAACATGGTGGTAATAAAAGCTTATTCCTTTACGTCATTGGTCCATCTAATTCTCCTGCTCCCTTAAAGAAGTTATTGAGGGGCAGCTAGATAGCACAGTATATAGAGCTTCAGCCTCGGAGTCAGGAGGACCTGGGTTCAAATCCAGCCTCAGACACTTAAAACTTACTAGCTGTGTGACCCTGGACAAGTCATTTAACCCCAATTGCCTCACACACAAAAAAAGTAATTGAACAGAATAAATGACCAGATCTTCAGCCTTTATTTAACTGAGGTGGATGCATATCATATCTTAGACTAAGGCAGTGTGCTACAGGATATCAAGGTTTGAATCTCATCCATATCACCTTGTTACCTGTGTGGTTGTGGCCAAATCACTTGAACCGCCTCAGGCCTCAGTTTCCTCATCTGCAAAAGGAGGGCATTGGACTAGCTAACCTCTGAGTTCCCCTCCAGCTCTAAATCTGATCTCTTTGGAATGTTTTCTTTCTTGGCCCATTCTCCATCCTAGCTCCTCTATAGCTTTTGAGGAAAATATAATAGTTCTTTCAATCCAGTGATTTTTCTTTTTCTTTTCTTACATTTATTGATAATTTTGCAGATAGTGACATATACATGGGATTTTTAATAGGAAGAGACCTATACTCAGAGGTAAATGAAAATAATTAGCCTTCTCTTGTATAGGTGCATCTCTAAGTCATATTCCTTCCCTATATGCTCTAGTCTTGGAATCAAGAGTAATAAAATCAGTTAACTTAGAAAAATAGCCTCATTTTTGGTCTCATAAACTGGATCACAGGTTCCCTTTGACAGATACAACATTTTGGTAGTGAGTAAAACTATCCAGCTGGTCTCTCTTCTTAGAAAGCTGAGTACGTGAAAACCTATAGGGTGCAAAAGATAATCTAGGGAAAAATAATTATTTAAAATAAAATGGATTCTCCAGGAAGATTTCTAAGTTCTGCATATACTTTTCTACTAAGCTTTAATAAAAAACAAAAACAAAATTGTGCAACCATCTAATTCCCCAACTTTCTCCTCCATACTTACCAACGAGTGAGATTTCAAATGCTATAAGCTCTGGAAAGAAAAAAAAAATTATCATCATTCTATAGGAGAAGTAACTGACAGACAGACAGAAAATACTACTTATTCAAGGTGACACATTAATCCAAGTAGTCTGATGATCAACCCGTCTAGCATAACTTGAGAGTTTGACAATATTCCATGAATGTAGCTTTCACAACTGTCTCAACCCTGGTAAATTCTGGATGAAGACAGAAAACAAGTTTCCTAACATCGACCTCTGTGCTTTAATTTCTACTTCTAGAATCCATTCTAATGGGGTTAAGATAAATGAAATGGAAAATATAGAACTGAACAGACTGTTGGGAAAGAAAATTAGATTTAAAAATCTTGTGGTATCTTCTAAATGAGACCTTTAGAGAATATATTTTTTTCGGCATTACACGGTACCTCTCCAAAAAGAGACCATTTGCTAAGACCCAGAGAAACCATATATAATAAACATAAGAAATATAAGATAAATATGAGAAAGCAAAACATTAAACACATTCTTTATAGATCATGACACAATAAAAATATTTACTAATATAAAGATCATTAGAAAAAGAATCAGACCTAAATTGAGATGAAATAATGATATTCTCAATAATGAGTGGGTCAAAAAACCAAATCACATGAACCATTAATAACAACATAAAAGAGAATGAGACATAAATGATGGAGTTTGGAATGTTGCTAAAGAAGGAGAAAAAATTATGTCTCTAAAAAATGAATGTAGGGGTAGCTAGGTGGAGCACTGGGCCTGGGGTCAGGAGGACCTGAGTTCAAATCCAGCCTCAGACACATAACACTCACTAGCTGTGTGACCCTATGCAAGTCACTTAACCCCAATTGTTTCACAAAAAAAAAATAATAATGTAACCCTAGTCTCAAAGACCAGTAATATCAGACTCTCTCCTTATTGATGGAAATCAATATCTTGTATGTATGTAAGAGGCAGGGCAGAGATCTTCAGTGTCTTCAATCAATTAATCAATCAGTCTTCTTCAAACTTTCCAGACTTTTTTCCTTCAACAACCTTGAAATAGGTTGACATCTTCCATCTTCTCTCTCAAATATGGATGCCAGAAGTACCTTGGGAAAAAATACTCGAAGAAGACTGAAGAGACTGAAATTCTCTCTTGTGTTCCCACCGACTATGTGCTGCCCCTCACACAGGCTCAGGGCATTGATCTCCATTGAAGATAGGGTCCCATACCAATGGGCTTTGGGTCTGAGGTCACATATATTTAGAAAAGAGAAAAAAAGAAAATAGGATTAATAAACTTTCTAGGTTATTAAAAAATAGAAAATCAACAGATTAACAAAATTAAAATAAGAACAGAAGAAGAAATATAAAAAATTAGAAGGGACATTGACAAAATGAAAAATTAAATGCTTGTAAAAACAATATACAAAACAGACAGCTGATATTTTTAAAATAATAACATTGATATACCTTTAAGTAACCTGATGCAAATAAAAAGAAATCAAAAATTCAAATCACCATTTTAAAAAAGTATAAAGTGAATTTACAATGAGTGGAGAGAAAATAAAATGACATAGATCAAATGTGTAAACACATTGTCTGCAGGCTGGCCCAAATCAGATTAAAACAAATTTGAGAACTATTTAGCATGATAAATACAAATACAATAAAACATAGGCAATGTTACATTTTAAAACTAAGTCAAAATGTAGCCTGAGTGTATCCTTATGCATGGATTAGTGGTTCCAATTTCTATTTAAGTTTGATACTACTGATGTAGACTACTTGTAATGTTTGACCCCAGACGGAAAATGACTAGAAGCTGCAAAGAAGCAAATTTAGGCTTTGACTTTTAGAAAAACTTCCTAAGAATTAGAACTACCAGAAGCAGAATGGATTGCCTTAAGTGGTGAGGGGTTATCCCCTCCTCAGAGGTCTTCAAGCTAAGGCTGTACAATTGCTGGTTGAATATAGTGAAGTGGTAATGCTTTTGTAGTGTCTGTGGTCTTATATAGCTGCTGAGGTCTTTCCAGCTCTCAAATTCTGTTATTCTGTGATACTTCTTTTTATCACCATTTTGAATGAAGTTAAACACCAGAATGTCACTATTAGCAGTGATAATAGTAGGAAGACCATTAGTAATGTTATTCATTAAAAATGTCAAAGTTTAAGAATGTTGCACTGAATGGAATGACAAGGCTATTTGGGAAATCAGAAGTCATAATAACTTGGTTATGGAATTTTTAAAAGTTTCTTATGATGATATTAAAGAAGACAAGTTAGTGAAACAAAATAAATAGACAAGAAAAAAAGCAAACAGATGTTTTCCATCTTTGTCTATGTAATTCCATCTCCTAGAGGGATGCTTCATGCTTCATTTAAGGAATGATGACATCACTTGGACCATTTTCAGCATGAGAGATGACCACAAATAAAGCATGTTGTTGATAAATTATATATTTTTGACCCTATAAAGAAACAAAATTTAATTGCCAGATCTGCAAAATACGAAAGAACTTAGTTCTAGGGCAGACCTCACAAATATCATTCATTTCACAGTTGAGGAAACAGACCCAGAAAAGTGAAATTAATTTTACATTGGTTCCCAACGAAATTCTAAAAATGGATTAATAAAGGTCTTGTTCTTTAATAAAAGGGAAAAGTGATTACTATGAACCAAAATATATTGGTTAAAATGTCAAACAAGTTTGTTCAGACATTCCTCAAATAATGGGATCCCATAGTTTTTGTTTGTTTGTTTGCTACCACAGAGTTCTATTTTGATTTAATTCAACTTTTCTTTCTCTCTTTGACTTTCTT